CCCTGAATCTCTTACATTCCCTGAATCTCTTACATTCCGTGAATCTCTTACATTCTGTGAATCTCTTACATTCCCTGAATCTCTTACATTCCGTGAATCTCTTACATTCCCTGAATCTCTTACATTCCCTGAATCTCTTACATTCTGTGAATCTCTTACATTCCCTGAATCTCTTACATTCCCCGAATCTCTTACATTCCGTGAATCTCTTACATTCCGTGAATCTCTTACATTCCCTGTATCTCTTACATTCCCTGAATCTCTTACATTCCGTGAATCTCTTACATTCCCTGAATCTCTTACATTCCGTGAATCTCTTACATTCCCTGAATCTCTTACATTCCCTGAATCTCTTACATTCCTTCCACTCGATAAAAGTTGTATTTTGAGACGTCTCGAAATTCCTTCCACTCTTATCATGTGAATCTCTTACATTCCGTGAATCTCTTACATTCCGTGAATCTCTTACATTCCGTGAATCTCTTACATTCCCTGAATCTCTTACATTCCGTGAATCTCTTACATTCCCTGAATCTCTTACATTCCCTGAATCTCTTACATTCCCTGAATCTCTTACATTCCTTCCACTCGATAAAAGTTGTATTTTGAGACGTCTCGAAATTCTTTCCACTCTTCTCACGTGAATCTCTTACATTCCGTGAATCTCTTACATTCCGTGAATCTCTTACATTCCCTGAATCTCTTACATTCCGTGAATCTCTTACATTCAGTGAATCTCTTACATTCCCTGAATCTCTTACATTCCGTGAATCTCTTACATTCCCTGAATCTCTTACATTCCCTGAATCTCTTACATTCTGTGAATCTCTTACATTCCCTGAATCTCTTACATTCCCCGAATCTCTTACATTCCGTGAATCTCTTACATTCCGTGAATCTCTTACATTCCCTGAATCTCTTACATTCCCTGAATCTCTTACATTCCGTGAATCTCTTACATTCCCTGAATCTCTTACATTCCGTGAATCTCTTACATTCCCTGAATCTCTTACATTCCCTGAATCTCTTACATTCCCCGAATCTCTTACATTCCGTGAATCTCTTACATTCCGTGAATCTCTTACATTCCCTGAATCTCTTACATTCCCTGAATCTCTTACATTCCGTGAATCTCTTACATTCCCTGAATCTCTTACATTCCGTGAATCTCTTACATTCCCTGAATCTCTTACATTCCCTGAATCTCTTACATTCCTTCCACTCGATAAAAGTTGTATTTTGAGACGTCTCGAAATTCCTTCCACTCTTATCATGTGAATCTCTTACATTCCGTGAATCTCTTACATTCCGTGAATCTCTTACATTCCGTGAATCTCTTACATTCCCTGAATCTCTTACATTCCGTGAATCTCTTACATTCCCTGAATCTCTTACATTCCCTGAATCTCTTACATTCCCTGAATCTCTTACATTCCTTCCACTCGATAAAAGTTGTATTTTGAGACGTCTCGAAATTCTTTCCACTCTTCTCACGTGAATCTCTTACATTCCGTGAATCTCTTACATTCCGTGAATCTCTTACATTCCCTGAATCTCTTACATTCCGTGAATCTCTTACATTCCCTGAATCTCTTACATTCCCTGAATCTCTTACATTCCCTGAATCTCTTACATTCCTTCCACTCGATAAAAGTTGTATTTTGAGACGTCTCGAAATTCTTTCCACTCTTCTCACGTGAATCTCTTACATTCCGTGAATCTCTTACATTCCGCGAATCTCTTACATTCCCTGAATCTCTTGCATTCCCTGAATCTCTTACATTCCGTGAATCTCTTACATTCCCTGAATCTCTTACATTCCCTGAATCTCTTACATTCCCTGAATCTCTTACATTCCGTGAATCTCTTACATTCTGTGAATCTCTTACATTCCCTGAATCTCTGACATTCCGTGAATCTCTTACATTCCGTGAATCTCTTACATTCCCTGAATCTCTTACATTCCCTGAATCTCTTACATTCCCTGAATCTCTTACATTCCCCGAATCTCTTACATTCCGTGAATCTCTTACATTCCGTGAATCTCTTACATTCCCTGAATCTCTTACATTCCGTGAATCTCTTACATTCCCTGAATCTCTTACATTCCGTGAATCTCTTACATTCCCTGAATCTCTTACATTCCCTGAATCTCTTACATTCCCTGAATCTCTTACATTCCTTCCACTCGATAAAAGTTGTATTTTGAGACGTCTCGAAATTCCTTCCACTCTTATCATGTGAATCTCTTACATTCCGTGAATCTCTTCCATTCCGTGAATCTCTTACATTCCGTGAATCTCTTACATTCCCTGAATCTCTTACATTCCGTGAATCTCTTACATTCCCTGAATCTCTTACATTCTGTGAATCTCTTACATTCCTTCCACTCGATAAAAGTTGTATTTTGAGACATCTCGAAATTCTTTCCACTCTTCTCACGTGAATCTCTTACATTCCGTGAATCTCTTACATTCCGTGAATCTCTTACATTCCCTGAATCTCTTACATTCCCTGAATCTCTTACATTCCCTGAATCTCTTACATTCCGTGAATCTCTTACATTCCGTGAATCTCTTACATTCCCTGAATCTCTTACATTCCCTGAATCTCTTACATTCCCTGAATCTCTTACATTCCCCGAATCTCTTACATTCCGTGAATCTCTTACATTCCGTGAATCTCTTACATTCCGTGAATCTCTTACATTCCCTGAATCTCTTACATTCCGTGAATCTCTTACATTCCCTGAATCTCTTACATTCCGTGAATCTCTTACATTCCGTGAATCTCTTACATTCCCTGAATCTCTTACATTCCGTGAATCTCTTACATTCCGTGAATCTCTTACATTCCCTGAATCTCTTACATTCCGTGAATCTCTTACATTCCCTGAATCTCTTACATTCTGTGAATCTCTTACATTCCCTGAATCTCTTACATTCCTTCCACTCGATAAAAGTTGTATTTTGAGACATCTCGAAATTCTTTCCACTCTTCTCACGTGAATCTCTTACATTCCGTGAATCTCTTACATTCCCTGAATCTCTTACATTCCGTGAATCTCTTACATTCCCTGAATCTCTTACATTCCGTGAATCTCTTACATTCCGTGAATCTCTTACATTCCCTGAATCTCTTACATTCCGTGAATCTCTTACATTCCGTGAATCTCTTACATTCCCTGAATCTCTTACATTCCGTGAATCTCTTACATTCCCTGAATCTCTTACATTCTGTGAATCTCTTACATTCCCTGAATCTCTTACATTCCTTCCACTCGATAAAAGTTGTATTTTGAGACATCTCGAAATTCTTTCCACTCTTCTCACGTGAATCTCTTACATTCCGTGAATCTCTTACATTCCCTGAATCTCTTACATTCCGTGAATCTCTTACATTCCCTGAATCTCTTACATTCCGTGAATCTCTTACATTCCGTGAATCTCTTACATTCCCTGAATCTCTTACATTCCGTGAATCTCTTACATTCCGTGAATCTCTTACATTCCCTGAATCTCTTACATTCCGTGAATCTCTTACATTCCCTGAATCTCTTACATTCTGTGAATCTCTTACATTCCCTGAATCTCTTACATTCCTTCCACTCGATAAAAGTTGTATTTTGAGACATCTCGAAATTCTTTCCACTCTTCTCACGTGAATCTCTTACATTCCGTGAATCTCTTACATTCCCTGAATCTCTTACATTCCCTGAATCTCTTACATTCCCTGAATCTCTTACATTCCCTGAATCTCTTACATTCCGTGAATCTCTTACATTCCGTGAATCTCTTACATTCCCTGAATCTCTTACATTCCCTGAATCTCTTACATTCCCTGAATCTCTTACATTCCCCGAATCTCTTACATTCCGTGAATCTCTTACATTCCGTGAATCTCTTACATTCCGTGAATTTCTTACATTCCCTGAATCTCTTACATCCCGTGAATCTCTTACATTCCCTGAATCTCTTACATTCCGTGAATCTCTTACATTCCCTGAATCTCTTACATTCCCTGAATCTCTTACATTCCTTCCACTCGATAAAAGTTGTATTTTGAGACGTCTCGAAATTCCTTCCACTCTTATCACGTGAATCTCTTACATTCCGTGAATCTCTTACATTCCGTGAATCTCTTACATTCCGTGAATCTCTTACATTCCGTGAATCTCTTACATTCCCTGAATCTCTTACATTCCTTCCACTCGATAAAAGTTGTATTTTGAGACGTCTCGAAATTCCTTCCACTCTTATCACGTGAATCTCTTACATTCTGTGAATCTCTTACATTCCCTGAATCTCTTACATTCCGTGAATCTCTTACATTCCCTGAATCTCTTACATTCCCTGAATCTCTTACATTCCGTGAATCTCTTACATTCCCTGAATCTCTTACATTCCGTGAATCTCTTACATTCCCTGAATCTCTTACATTCCGTGAATCTCTTACGTTCCCTGAATCTCTTACATTCCCTGAATCTCTTACATTCCTTCCACTCGATAAAAGTTGTATTTTGAGACGTCTCGAAATTCCTTCCACTCTTATCACGTGAATCTCTTACATTCCTTCCACTCTTTCTTCTCCTGCCCGTGTTCTCTCCCTTGACTCTTTCCCCCCTCCACCACATATGAGCGCATCTGTAGTGGGTCCTTCATGTGCACTGCGACGTGATAAAAGTGAATTTTTGAGACGTCTAAAACAGTCACCTTCATCAAACGATGAGCGGATATGTAGTGGGTCCTTCATGGGTACAGCAGGGTACGTCCCTCCTAAGCTGAATCACACAATCACTCACTCCTCGCACTGCAACTTCCCTTCCTGTGCATGTTTTCTCCTCTCCTCCTGCTTCCCTTTCTCCTCCGTTCGCCACAGATGAGCGCAGCGGGTCGTTCATGGGCACAGCAGAGTACGTGCCACCAAAGCTGACTTGCATTCCCTTACTCCTCTCACTGCCTCATGCCGCCCTTGCTTACTTTATTTTCCTTTCACCACAGATGAACGCAGCGGGTCCTTTGTGGGCACAGCAGAGTACGTCCCTCCGGAACTGCTGGACGATGGGCCCGTGTCGTTCGAGTGAGTTACATGCACCCATGTGCTCATGTACTCATGCACTCATGTGCCCATATGTTAGTGCGCCTCAACTCATCACAGCACAGCAGATTACGTCCCTCCGGAGCTGCTGGACGATGGGCCTGTATCCTTTGAGTATTTTCATGCATCCATGCACCCATGCACCCATGCACCCATGCACCCATGCACCCATGCACCCATGCTCCCATGCTCCCATGCTCCCACCCATGCACCCATTAATCCATGCACCCATGCCATGCACCTCAACACAGCAAATCAGAGTAAGTCTTTCCAGAGCTGCTTGACGATAGGTTTGTGTCCTTTGAGCGAGTTGCATACACAACATATGCACCCATGCTTCCGTGCACCCATGCACCCATGCTCCCATGCACCCATGCACCCATGCTCCCATGCCCCTTGCACGGCACATAGCCATGGCGCAGTGTTCTCAATCTGTCTCTCATTTGCCCGACTCTTCCTCCCCTCACCAGAGCGGACCTCTGGGCGCTAGGATACATCATCTATCAGATGCTAGCCAGTGTGCCGCCCTTCAAAGGAGCCTGTGCTTCTAAACAGACCCCTCCTTACCCCTCGTAAACCATCTCCACCCCTTTCCACCCGTCTTCACCCCTCTCCACCCCTCTCCACCCCAGGGCTGACCTCTGGGCGCTAGGCTGCATCATCTATCAGATGCTAGCGGGTGCACCGCCCTTCAAAGGAGCCAGCGAGTACCTGTGCTTCCAAACAAACCCCGCTTCAACCCTCTTCATCCCTCTCAACTTCTCCCTCGACCAGGGCCGACCTCTGGGCGCTAGGCCGCATGATCTATCAGATGCTGGCGGGTGCACCTCCCTTCAAGGGGGCCAGCGAGTGCCCGTGCTTACAAGCAAACCCCTCTCCACCCCTCGTCACCCCTTTTCACCCCTCTCCACGCCTCCCTTCCCCAGGGCCGACCTCTGGGCGCTAGGCTGCATCATCTATCAGATGCTGGCCGGTGTGCCGTCCTTCAAGGGAGCCAGCGACAATCTGTGCTTCTAAGCAAGCAAACCCCATTTCACCCCTCTCCACCCCTCTCCACCCCTCTCCACCCTGCTTCATCCCTCTCCACCCCTCACTAGAGCCGACCTCTGGGCGCTAGGCTGCATCATCTATCAGATGCTGGCGGGTGCACCGCCCTTCAAGGGGGCCAGCGAGTATCTGTGCTTTCAGAAGATCCTCTCTCCACCCCTCTCCACCCCTCTCCTCTACCCCTCTCCACCCCTCTCCTCTACCCCTCTCCACCCCTCTCCTCCACCCCTCTCCTCTACCCCTCCACTCCTGTGCAGAGCCGACCTCTGGGCGCTAGGCTGCATCATCTATCAGATGCTGGCAGTGGCGGGTATGCCGCCATTCAAGGGAGCCAGTGAGAACCTGTGCTTCCAAACAAACCCCTCGTCATGTTTCTTCACCCCTCATTAACTTTATCCACCCCTCTCCACCCGTCTTCACCCCTCCGCACTCCCTTCAACCAGGGCCGACCTCTGGGCGTTGGGATGCATCATCTATCAGATGCTAGCAGGTGTGCCGCCATTCAAAGGAGCCAGCGAGTATCTGTGCTTCCAGAAGATCCTCTCTCGGGATCTCACCGTACCAAACTACTTCAGCAACGAAGCCCGCAGCCTCGTCAACTGTTTACTGGTGAGTCTGCGTAATATGTATATTGAGTTGCCGCTAAAAGAGTCACACAGCGAGTATCTGTGCTTCCAGAAGATCCTCTCTCGAGATCTCACCGTGCCTAACCACTTCAGCAATGAGGCCCGCAGCCTTGTTAACTGCCTGCTGGTATGTCAACTTCGTGCTGGTTTGTATGTTATACATAAATCGAGTTTCTCATTGAAGAGTCACCCAGTGAGTACCTCTGTTTCCAGAAGATCCTCTCGCGCGTCCTCACCGTGCCCAACCACCTCAGCAACGAGGCTCGCAGCCTCGTCAACTGGTTGCTGGTGTGTCCATACTATAAATGTCTTAAGGAGTCATCCAGTGAGTACCTGTGATTCCAGAAGATCCTCTCTCCGGATCTCACTGTCTCCGCAACCACCTCAGCAACGTCAACTGCCTGCAGTTCACGAGGCTGTCTCAGCAACGAGGCCCGCAGCCTCGTGAACTGGTTGCTGGTGTTTGCCTTCACAATGTGTTGGGAGGGCTGATAAGTTCACTAAACTCTGGAGCCTAGAACACATACCCTGCCGCCCTCACCTCTGTATTCATCCATTTTCCTCGCCTCAGAAACTGTGTCTCAACGGATGGAACCCATAAGGAATGCGTTGGGTTCCAGGCACATGGAATGACAGAGCTATTGAGTCGAATGAACCGTAGCCTTCTAGTATACATATCCTGCGCCACTCAGCTCCTCGATTGAATGTATACATCCCTCTCACCTTAGGAGATGAATCGTAACAAGCATGTGGGGTCAGGTCGAGGCACTTGGGCTGAAAGCCCCCACCCACCGTTAGGCCACTGGCCTTGTTTATCATCCCTCGTCCCTCTCCCGCCCTGTTGCGACTGCCGAGCCGAGCTTACCCCCACATGTGCCTCGACCCTCGGCAGGAGACGGATCCCAAGTAGCAACTATGGTCGAGGCACATGTGGATGTGGGGGTATGTTCGGATCAGCAGAAAGCTCACCCTGGTTTACAAAGAATCTCATAGGGTACTTTCTGCTCCCTCAAAGATCATCCCTCCTCCCTCCCAGCCCCGGAGGCTGCCAGGCGATGGAACCCAAGAAGCTTCTGGGGTCGAGTCGAGGCACATGGGGGGGTACCCTCGGCTGAACTCTCACCCTTGCTTATGAAAGTTCTTACAGGGACATTTCAGTCAGCTCACAAATCATCCCTCCCTCCCCTCCTGGTGGCTGTCAGGAAATGGACCTTGAGAAGCGCCTGGGCTCAAAGGACATGGGGGGTACCCTCGGCTGAAAGCTCACCCCTTCTTCCAAGGCATCTCCTGGGGGATGTGTCTGAATCATCCTTCGTCCCTCTTCCCCAACCCCTGGTGGCTGCCAGGAGATGGAACCCAAGAAGCGTCTAGGTTCAAGGCACATGGGGGTGTACCCCCGGTTAAAATCCCACCTACTCTTCCAAGTCATCCCCTGGGAGATCTTTCAATCATCCCGCGTCTCTCTCCCTGTTTTGACTGGCACCCAAGAAGCGCCTGGGTTCAAAGGACATGGGGGGTACCCTCGCCTGAAAGCTCACTCCTTCTTCCGAGGCATCCCCTGGGGGGAACAAGGGAAACCCAACAAGGAGCCTCCCAAAAGAAGTTTTTTTCCCATCTCCCCACTCCCCTTCCCTCCCATCCCACCCCCCTCACAGTCTTTCTTCTTTCCCTCTTCCTCCCCTCCCCATCGCCCTGGTCCCTCATTGCTATCAGGAGATGGAACCCAAGAAGCGATTAGGTTCAAGGCACATGGGGGGTTACCCCCGGCTGAAGGCCCACCCGTTCTTCCGAGGAATCCCCTGGGGAGGGGAACCAGGCCTCGGCCAGCACGGAGTGTCCTCTGTCCATATCGGAGCAATCCAAGCCAGGGGAGAAAGCACAGGGGAGGGTTCAAGTGTGCTCTTCTCATCCCCGGCGCCGGTGCTGGCTGTGCCGGTTCGGATTGCTGGGAATGATGGTTCGAGGGGTCATGGGTTGAGCGATGGTGACGGGTTTGGGAGTGGGGTGAAGGTGGGGAAAGAGGGGGATGAAGGGGAGGGGGAAGAGGACGAGGATGAGGAGGAGGATGAGGAGGAGGATGAGTGGGCTGTGTTGCATCTAGGGGGATCGTTTGCTGGAATGAAGGTAAAATCTGGTGCACGGGTTGCATAAGGAGCTATAGGGGAGGAGAGTTGAAGTGTGCCTTTTTCGTTCCGGTTAGGCTGGCTAGGAACGATGGGCTGAGGGGGCACAGTTTCACCAACGGTGACGGGCTTGGGAGTGGGGTCGAGGGGGGAGGTGAGGGGGATGAGGAGGGGATGAGGATGAGGATGAGGATGAGGAAGAGGATGAGGAGGAGGATGAATGGGCGGTGTTTCATCTTGGGGGTTTGTTTCCTCGAATGTAGGTGAAATCAGGGCAATGGGCTGTGTGAAGAAGAGTGATTGGTCTTATGCGGCAGCTTTGTGTATTAGTGCAGTAGTGTACATACGTAGTCATCACACCAGCCTTTGTAACTTGTCTATATATACGGTACTCGTCTGAAAGTTGGAAGTGTTGGGCTAAGAAAAGCCCTTAGGATCGATTTCAAGACTAAAGTCTCAGAGTAGTGATGTATTAGCGGAAGCGTAATAGTGAACTGATTGAACCACCTTGCACTGGTATGTGAGAACAAGATAAGTTGATAATAGCAAAGAGATACAAAGATTTATATGATAACAAAGGAATGTGAAAGGTTTCAACTGTAACTGCTGTTGCGGTTCGATACAGCGACGACTCGGGTAACTGCTCAATAGTGAGTCAGTTATGTGTCCTTGCTGTCCCGCTGCTTTTCGGCAAGTCAAGGTCGCTGACCTTTGACCTTCACTCAACCTCTTGTTGTCTTTCTGTCAACCGCTTTGGTTGACTCGCTGTTGCTTCGCTTCAGTTTGCTTTGCTTTTGTTGTAGTGCTCGACACATCAGAAGCACGAACTAAATGTTTCGGTGTTCCCGCTTCAACCTCCTGCTGTTGTCGCTTTGTCAACCGCTTTGGTTGACTCGGTGTTGCTTCGCTATGAATATGCTTCTCTTTTGTTGTAGTGCTCGATACTTCAGAAGCGTAAACTAAATGTTTCCAACACTCCCCTTCGCTTCTGGAGTGTCGTCGCCTTCGTTGCTGATGACGTGGCTTTGTCCAGTCAGCAGCATGCAGTACTCGAACTTCTGCTTTCCGAGTTTCTTGGTCAAGTAATATGTTGCCATCGTGACGTGGGACAGTAGGATAGCTCGAGTCTCCCTTTCTCGATCTCGTCCTTCACGAAGAAATAGCGCAGGGCAATGTGCTTCGTTCGGTTCGCGAACCCGCTCTTGTTCGCTATGCGAATTGCAGATTGGTTGTCGCAGAAGAGGGAGAAGCTGGGTAACTGAGCCAGCTTTGCTTCTTCCAGTAGTTCGCGAAGGTACAGTCCTTCCTTGGTGGCTGAGCAGAGTGCTATGTATTGAGCTTCAGCAGAGGAAAGAGCAATTAGATCTTGCTTGCTCGACTGCCACGAGATAGGACTGACGGGCTCGAGTCGATAGATGTAGCCGGTGCGCGATCGCCTGTTATCAGAATTGCCTGCGTGGTCAGCATCCACGTAGCCGATTAGCTTTGGAGTAGTGGTTGCGGTCTTGTGGTAGGTTAGGCCAATCGTTGGCGTACTGACGAGGTAGTGTAAGGCGCAGTCGAGTTCGGCCATGTGCTCTGCTTCGGGCCGCTTGAGGAGAGTAGCAAGTTGAGTTGCTGAGTATGACAGATCCGGTCGGCAGGTGACGGCTGCGAAGAGCAGACAACCCAGTTTTCATTGGTAGTCGCGTAGGCCGGCGGGTCCAAGCAGGTTGGATTTTTCCTGGTGATTTCCCGCAGTGTAGCGGTAGGGCGTGGAAATGGTGGCTGGCGTCAGTCCGAAGCTTTTTCCGTCGGTGTCGGCGTATTTTGCGACGCAGAGGTAGATCGTGTTCTCTCCGTCTAGAATGTTGAGTCCAAGGTACTGTGTCACGGTAGAGGAAACCGTGAGTGAGAGATCCTGTTGCAGCTCCCCTTCAAACCAGTTGGTGATGCCGTTGGTGGAGCCTATGTAGAGTAGGTCGTCTACATACACAATGAGCAGAATGTACTCGGCTTCCTTTGTGAGTCTGTACATGCCGTGGTCGTGTGGTAGTTGCTGAAAGCCGATGCGGATTAATCGGGCATATAGGTACTACTGCCACAGCCGCGGAGCTTGCTTGATGCCGTACAGGGATTTCACCAGCTGACAGACTTGATAAGGGTCTATGTCGGATCCGTGTGGTTGCTCGACGAAGATTCCGGCGTCGACGGGAGCGTAGAGACATGCATTAGCCACGTCGATTTGGTGAAGCTTCTTCTGCTTCATGGCGGCTATCGCGAGGAGGATTCGTAAAGAGGCATGTCGGCTGACCGGCGCAAAGGTTTCGGTGAAGTATTGTCAGTGTTTTTGTCGAAGCCACGCACGATCCATCGTGCCTTGAATTTATTAATTGTTCCGTCGGCTTTCGTCTTCACGCGGAAGACCCATTTTCCTGTGAGAATGGTTTTGTTGCGTGCCAGTCCGATGGGTACTATCTTCCAGGTGTTTCTGTCTTCCGGCGCCTTAATTCCCTGTCCATGGCTTCACGCCATTTTTCCCAGTGTTACCGCCCCATAGCCTGCTGAACCGTGGCAGGCTCTCGCGGCACTGGTGCGCCATGGACAGCGGTGACCAGCCCAAGAATCTGCAGCCCACTCTGTGTAGCGAGTGAGATTTGGGTCCTCGGGATAAATTGCTTCATCTCCTGCTTCTGGATCAGGTAAGAAGTTGGGGCCTATGCGTTCTGAAACGTTTGTGTTGACCGGATGTGGTGTAACGTAACCATTGTCGGCGAAGTCGTAGTAGACTTCGGCGTTGATGCTTTTGCGAGGATTTTCGTCGTCCATCGGAACAGGTGCCGAGCAATAGGGAAGAGGTCCGGCTTCCTCGGATGCTCCGTCCACGTTTTTCTCATCCTAGTCAGCCTCATCTGCTGGTGTGGCGAAGGCTCGGTTGCCACGGAAGCCGCCCGTGAGGTCTCGTTCTGCTGCCAAGCTGTCCAGGTACGTTTGGAGAGTAAGTCGTTCGTAGAAAATCACGTCACGTGCTGCTACTGTTTCCTTCGAGTGGACGTCGAAGGTTTTCCATGCGTTGCAGTGTTTTTCGATACGCAGGTGTAGTCCCCACTGTGCTCGTTGTGAGAATCGTCCAGCTCGTGCAGTGTGTGGTCGTAACTGTACCATGCAGCCAAAAACTCGTAACATTTTTGTGTTGCCCAATTTTCCTGTCCACATCAGATGCGGTGATGCGTTGTTCGGAAGCGAGGATGACGAAAGTTGTGCAACAGCACAGCGTGGTCCATCGCCTCATGCCACTGATGGTTGGGTATTCGCATGCGACGTATCAGCTTGCGCATGGTGTTCTGGAGGGTCTTGTTCATTCTTTCTGCCACGCCTTGCTGCTGATGAGCGTAGGGAAGAGAAATGAATCGCTTGATGCCTCTCTCCGCCAAGTATTGCTTGAACTGATGTGACTGATATTCTCCTCCTCCGTCTGACTCAAAGCTTTTCAGCTTCACTCCTGATTCTCTTTCTGCTACTGGGAGCCAAGCGACGAATGCTTCGAAGGCCATGTCACGACTCGGAAGGTTGAGGTGCCATACGTATCTGGTGGCAGCGTTGATGAAAGTGATTACGCATTTGTATGCTCCTTGTCCACTTTCGCGGGTGTATAGTAAGTCGCTATAGACCTTCTCCAGTGGTGCGTATGCTGGCGCGCTCGGGTTGTGGTGAGAGACGAACGGCTGATGGGGTAAGTCGGCTTCAGGGCAGGTAAAGCAGGTTTCGCGGTCTCGTTGAAGTTCTCTGCCGTCGGGTAGGAGTAGTGAGTCTTGTCAGAGGTCCACTCGTGATCCCCGATTGATCCTAGGGAAGGGTTACAGGCATGTTGGCCTGGGGGGTTATGGGCGCACTGACCCGCTACTTAACAAGCCCTTCTATCCCAATGGTCTAGTGGTTGGGATTCTGACAAGTCTTTATCGAGCACTCCTGCTCTTATCGTGTTGCTAGGATGCCATAACCTTTGATGCCATAATGATTCGTCGGCGCGATGTCCAGGTGAACGTCGGTACAGATCGGAGTTGGAGTAAAAACTTGCGGTGATGTTGGTGCTTCTGTGAACTTCGCATGGGGCGGGAGTCAGCTGTTGAGTGGGAGTCAGTGTGGTGTCGGTGATGGGAGTTGGTGCTGATGAAGAGCTGGTGATTGATGCTGGTGCTGTTGTTGTTGCTTCTGCTTCTATCGGTGTCACTGCTGCTGCTGTTGTCTTTGCTGCTGTTGTCTGTTCAATCACTGCTAACACCCTTGTCCGTTCTGCTTCAGGTATGGTGTGCGAGTACCAGAAACCTCCGGGGCTGAAGTCCGGGTCGAGATCTGGTGGGTGCGACCAGGTAGTGAAATTGACGATAGCATCGCTGTCAGCTGTTCCTTGATCTGGAACGAAATCAAGAACGAAGACGTTGTTCTTCAGGACCGCTTTCCCGATGTAAAGTCCTCCCTTCTCGTTGTACAGCTTGAACTCCTAAGTGGTGCTGTCGGCTTCAATGTGAATCCCTTTTGCCATGAGCTGGCAGACGCTGAGTAAGTTGTAGCCCAGTCCTTCTGCAATTAAAACCTTTGACATCTGTAAAACGACGTTAGTCTCGCGGGACTGAAGTTGAACTACTTCTTGTTGTCGTATGCGCAGGTTCTGGTTGTTCGCGACGGTGATCACGACTTCCCGGTTGAGGTGTTGTTCCCGTTGAACGAAGTGATTTGACGAGCACATGTGCTGTCCGCAGCAGCTGTCCAAGAACCAAGTATCTTGACCGGACGGTTCGCTCTGTGCGATGGCTGCATACGTCGGATTTGGTTCTAGTGATTCGCGACGAGGCGTGCTTTCGTCGAGAAGTTCTTCTGGTGAGTAGGTCGGTGGTGAACCAGTGATGCAGGAGTCCGTTCTTATCATGCAGCTTATGACGTTTCTTGTTCCTCGTGCAGATTGTGACGTTGTCGTTGAAGGCGTTGCCTGGTTAGAAGGACGCTGCTGTGTGGAAGTCACTTGACTACTGGACGATTGAAGCTGACGTG